TTCTAGGTCGTCTGATGTGCTCTGGATGCCGTTCTTAACAGCTTGGTATGGGATGGGGCACTAGGATCTCCTCACAGGAGAATCTAACATGTAATAGCAGAAGTGAGAACTTCAAGAATTCTCCATTTTTTCCCTTGTCAGAGTCCCAAACTGAGCATGGAGCCATGACTTGATGAGACATTACCTCGAGGAACATAAGTTGCTCCTGGTACCACTAACAGCCTCCCTTTGGAAACATTCTCTCCCTGTCAGGCAGGGAATGTCTCTGGACTGTACTTAGTAAGCCCTGAGAAGCTGTTTGTTAACTGAACCAAACGGTCCCACTAAATCCATGAGAATCAGTGTGCATCATTCTCCTCTTTTTCTGTTTGACTTCCCTTACTAGTACTTTGGGGAGAGAAGAATGTCTCCGGCTTCCTCACCAGAGTATGCTGAATCATTACATATCAGAGAAAGACATTTCAAAGAGAGAGAGACAAATCTTCTATCTGCCAATGGTTCTAAGGACCAGAACAGTCCCAGATCCTGTTGAGGATAGATAAACTCTCCAGTGATATCAGAATCAGATTGATTTGAAACCCATAATCAGTGACTGTCATGATGGGGTATGTTTAGTTTATCCTTTGAAGACCTTGTATCCTGTCCATAAACATACAGGCAACTTGATTTTGTTAAGTGTGCTAGATGCTCAGTCATGTCTGACTCTTTGCAATCCCATGGACTGTAGCCCTCCAGGCTTCTTTGTTCTTGGCAAGAATACCGGAGTGGGTAGCCATACCCTTCTCTAGGGGATCTTCCTGACACGGGCATCGAACCTGGGTCTCCCATATTGCAGGCAGATTCTGTACCATCTGAGCGACCGGGGAAGCCTTTGATTCTTGTTTGGGATCCCAGATGGGCTGTACTTTTTAAATCAATGCATTTTCAATTAGGAGGAAAAATAAAAGTAGATAAATGAAACTAGAAAAACAAACAGAATATATAAAAATTCGAAAATTTAAAAGCATCAGGAATCTCATACTGAGAGGAAATTTCATGTATTCAATATATGTTTATGTTTCCAAATCATCATAAGGAATCAAAGACCCAAGCAGAGAACTGCTGTGAAAAGTGATTGTATGAAAACACAGTTCATGCTGATTTTATTATTCTTCTTAACTCTTTCTGATTTTTTTTAACTCTTTCTGATTTTATGGGCACTATATTTATGTAGCATGTGTTGAGCATCTACTGGGAGGAAGATTTTGGGTAAGGAGGAGCAATTCCTTTGTGGTAGAATGGTAACAATATTATTAGATTCAAAGTTTCCAACTTTTAATAGGAACACTAAGTGCCATGTAAACAAAAATAACTTAGAAAGTGTTGGTTGACTTGAACAAACTTGACTGATGACAAATGGCACATGTATGTGTTTTGGGAATGATCCCAGGAAGCACAATGTCTTTGTTGTTGCTGAGAGTAAAGCAAAACACAGCAATGACTAACTTGTCCTAAAATATGTGTGTGACAGTCTATTTGTGCTACATGGGGAGCAAAATTATTAGCATCCTGATCTTTCTGAAGAGATGTCATCTGCAGTTTGATTGTACTCTTCGTATTGTGAGCTCACATACTACTTAACGTTACCGTTAATATCAAAATTACAGGGATGAAGACAGTAGAGCTGCTTGTTTGGATGATTAGCTCCAATTAATTAATATCTTCTAGTACAACTAATATCTTTCCCAAGTCCTTAGTTATTATTATTCTTTCTCCTTAGAGTAAGTGAATGATATTTGATGCACAATCATTTGGGAAGTGATATCTACAGACACTAGCTGGGGAAGGACACAATGATACAGGGAGGACAGCCGAAGCAGACTGCCATCGTCAGCAGGTTACGGCTGAGCACAGGTGGAGTTCCATCCCATGGAGGTCATCTGGGAGATGGTGTAGCGCATGCCCGAGAGTTGTGTCCACTGAGAGGGGGATAAAGTTGAGTTATATTTCCCCCAACTCATCAGTCATTGGTTGATGGCTGTTCCCAGGAGCACAGACTTTTGTGCGATTCCTTTCCGCCGGGTGCAGCCAGGAAAAGCCCCCGCATGGTGAGGAGTCACGGTTTTCCGGGGGATACGGACAAAGGGCTGCAGCGCATGCCCCGTTGGTCTCCTGCAGATGTTTACTATTGTAAATGTTGTTAATGGAATTATTTAAGCTATCGAACTTTTGACTTGGAATCGCCATTTATTTTAGTAACAGTGATGGAACAGATATTTTGCACGTAACTCAGAATTTCTCTCCTCTCCAGGAGATTTCCTGCCACTAGACCTGAAAACCTACTTCCTTTTATTGCAACACTCTTCTCACTTGAAATAATTAAGGATAGTCCCTCCTCCTTCCCTCTGTGTATATATTGTGAGCCTTTTTAATTAATGCATTACATGTTTACTCAGGGATATTTCTCTTTTTTTGATCTTGTCTCCTAAAAATTCAGCTGCTCCCGGAGTCCCTTCTGTCTGCATTGGCAGATGCTTAACTATCTTCTACCTTAAACCAGCAAGTGAAAAACTGTCTCTCCACTCCCCCACCTTCCCCTCTTGCTAGAGTTGCTAGAGTCCCCTTCTCGTTCACAATCAAGCTTCTCAAAGAGTGTATAAAATCACTGCAGCCTTTTCCTCTTCTAGAACTTCCCTCTCTCCAAGCTGGTCACTGCACACATTTTTTATTTTACGGATGGCTCCCCAGTCTCTACCTTCAGTTACTCTTCCATACCTCAGATTTCTGGATTTCTTAGCAGCAGTGACTGCATAACTCATTTCTTCACAGGGTGTAAGTTGCCTTTGAAGACTCACCTCTAGTTTCCAGGACACTTTATTTTCCTCTACTTTTTTCGAACATGCATAACAGGAGAATATCCTTTGCAATGCATGTGTTCTTTAACTGTGTTTATGAAGTCAGCAAACTTTGAAATCATTTCCTTTAGGGTAACTTTGCCTATCTGTGTTCTGTGTCTTGAGGTGTTTCTCTTACTGCTTAGAGCTTTGAGGGTAATCATTTTTTTTTTCTCTTTGGATTCTTAGTTGGCACCTCATTGCATTCATTAGGATGACCATATTCTACCTACTTTTTACTTGTCATATGGTGTGTGAGTGGGTGTTCTTTCATATTCTTGGCATGAATATTTTCATGTATTTTTATCATCACTCTTTTCTAACTTAACAACTCCAGACCGAGGAGAATACTTCCATTTGCCTATATGTGGATGAAGACTACCTTAACATTTTAATTTCTCTGCTCTGGAACATTTTAATAAGTCAATATATATAATGACTAAAATTTTATTCAGTTGTTTGAGTAAATGTGAGAGTATGATTGATTTGGTATGAGTAAGAGGAAAAATCATGTATAAGTCAGACCCAGGGCCAGCTATAGAAGTTGTGAGACCCAGTCCAGGATGACAATGTAGGGTGCTTTGTTCAGAACATAGTTAAGAATTTCAGGGAAGTGGAAAGAGAACGTTAGACCAAGCACAGGACCCTTCTGAGCACAGAGACCTGTGTGACTGCACAAATTGTATAGCAATGGAGCAGACCCTGTACAGATATTTGGGGGCAGGTTGCAGCTGAGAATTAACTTTATAGATGAGTTTCAAAACAGAATTTCATGAGTACCATTTTTTGGAATAAAAGAGTGTATAAAATAACAAAGTTGAATGAATATATTTATTTGGGGCACCATGCTATGCTTTGACACAGAGTATTGCGGAGAGTAGAATATGTCACTAATAAGAAAACAGTTTTAGATTAATTCTTGACTGAGATCCAATACTTTGCTTACCATGCGTGCTAAAAAGCCAGATTGCATGGGTCCTAAAACCTGGCTCTGTCTACTCTGCAGAGCGTGGGTCTTGGGCACATTTCCTTAACTGTCCATACGTCAGGTGTAAGTGTATTGGGATGATAGCAGAGACTCTATCTCACAGATTTGTCATGCAGTTTATTATATTTTCAGACCTTTGAAGAGTAAGCATTCAGTCTTCTCTGTTATTTCAAAATTCTTTCACTTTTGCTTTAGTAGATACTATATCCTAAACTTAGTTTGCTGTCTTATGGTTGTGAATTAATGTCCAGTATAATGTTAGCACATTTCCTGATATTGTTTGTGTAGAATTACATGGTTATCACTTAGCAGTTGAGGCATTAAGTTCATGATGGTAGAAATTAATGATGTTATTTTTTCTTATAAGAATATTGAAAGGGCTTTATTTTTAATTTTTTACTTTGAGCTTTCCCCCATCGCCATTTGACTTATTTAAAAATTAAAAATCTAAATCATCTGTTTAGCAGAGCAATCCAGTTAATTATGCTCTACTTTATAAGTTACATAACTTCCAAATCTAATTCAATTTAATTTTAGCAGTTCAGGCATTCTTAAATACATTTAAAAACAATCTTTTTTGGACGTAATCCTTGTGATTAATGAATGTTCTTTGCTTTTTTGTGTCACTGAATGATAAATCTTTTTATATTAATATGAATTATGTTTATTTATAGTGATTAGCAGTGTGTTTGTGCATTATTGAGAAGATACAGTAGTTTACAGTCTACAAACTAAATCTCTACCATCATGAAATACTATCTGAAATATTTGGTTTAATGATCAATTTTAGGACTACATCATACAGTAAGGATAGTAAATGTATTTTATTTTCTATACTGGTACATTTAAGGTAGTTTCTGAGAAATCATTCTGAGTTCAAAACAAAAAGCTCTAGTCAGGTATAGTTTCCAAAAAGAATGTCATAATTTTTCTGGGCATTTAGCATTTAGGATTGTAAGACCCTAGGGAATAATTAAGCCATATAGCTATATTTGTTGATTGTGAACATTGAAAAGAAAGCAAACAGCAATATTCCCAATTATCACAAATCTTTCTCACCTGCCATTTTCTTGACCCCTTCTGTCGCCTCTGGTTCTCATAATATAATATCTATATTCAATCTCTTTTTCTCACACCAGACAGTATTACTGAAGTCTTCACTAACATCTATGTGACCAGTTTTGGCCCTGTCTCAGATACAGACATGGTAAGTTTTTCATAATATTTTTTCTTCGTATAATGGGAAGTGTGGGAGATAATTGAAAATAAACACATATTTTTAGTGTTGTAGATTACGTATCTGTCTTATGCCTGTTTTGCCTGTTTGCTGTGCTTCGTCGCTCAGTCATGTCCGACTCTTTGCAACCCCAGGCTCCTCTGTCCATGGGGATTCTTCAGGCAAGAATACTAAAGTGGGTTGCCTTGCACTCCTCCAGGGGATCTTCCCAACCCAGGGATCAAACCCAGGTTTCCCACATTGCAGGAGGATTCTTTACCATCTGAGCCACCAAGGAAGCCCATGCCTGTTCAGTCTGCCCAAATTCATAGAGTTAAGGCTGTTAATCTGCTTGTAGAATGGTGCACCATTCTAACTTAAGTGGTCAGATTAACTCTTTATATTTTATATTATTTTCAAAGCTTTCTACCCAGCTACAGTGTGGCAAACAGTTGTTTAAATAAAGTAATGATATTACGGAGAAGCATTTTCTATGATTAAAGCCCCACTTGACTTCCATACGTCTGTACAGTTTCATAGATAACTGCTTCTTACAGGCTGTGGTCATGATCAGTGTTAGAAATGGAAACCTTCTGCTGGCGTTGAATAAGGTGGATTTCTAGTCATACTGGTCATAGCAATAAATACAATACAGGTGGCAGAGGGTGAGATGGTTAGATAGCATCACCAACTCAGTGGACATAAATCTGGGCAAACTCTGGAAGGTAGTGAAGGACAGGGAGGCCTGGTGTGCTGCAATCCATGGGGTTGCAAAAAGTCAGACACGACTTAGCATCTGGACAGCAACAAACACTCCTCATTTGTAATAGGTGCATATAAATCAGTCTAAGAAAACTAGAATCTTAACACTTGAATTCTGTGGAACTGGTCTTTATTTTTCTTTACAGTGAGATCAGTAGAAGAGGGAGATTGGTCTGTTGGGTTAGAAATCAGTGCACTAGACCAATCATCACTAAATCCTTGGCTGAGCATAAGCGTGTTATGTCTGCCTGAAGCATCTTCTACTGCTCCTTATAGTGCTGTACTGTAGAAAACTTTTGTATAAATTATTTTTCCTCCACCTTTCTTGCTGTCAGAGAATGAGAATTAGAGGAGATGCCCTTGTCCCAGGCTTTGCTTGGCCATCCTCCATCATGTCGTCCTCCCAAGTTTCTTCCTTTCATCTGATACCCCATGGGGAAGGATGACAAGCATGGATGTTTTCATCTGGATAAAAATTGGTTTAAAACTAAAGTTTTTCCTTTCTTGCAGATGCTCATAAACAAGAGCCAGTTTTTTTTTTAACTACACTATAGTTAATTTACAATATTGTGTTAGTTTCAGGTGTATAGCCTAATGATTCAGTTACTTTGTTTTCAGATTATTTTCCATTATAGGTTATTATAAGATATTGAATACAGTTCCCTGAGCTACACAGTAAATCCTCATTGCTTATCTATGGCATGTATAGTAGTTTTTATCTGTTAATCGTATATTCCTCATTTATCCTTCCCCCACCTTCTCTTTGGTAACCTTGTTTGTTTTCTATGTCTGTGAATCTGTTTCTGTTTTGTATATATATTCATTTGTATTATTGCTTAGATTCCACATATAAGTGATATGATACAGTATTTGTCTTTCTGCCTGGCTTACTTCACTTTATATTATATATAAAATTCTCTAGGTCCGTCCCTGTTGACGTAAATGGTGATATTTCATTTTGTTGTGGCTGAGTACTATCCTGGTGTGTGTGTGTGTACGTCACATCTTCTTAAGCCAGTGTTCTACTGACAGACACATGGGTTGTTTCCAAGTCTTGGTTATTCTAAATAGTGCTGATATGAACATTGGGGTCCCTGTATCTTTTAAAATTAGAGTATTTGCTTTTTTCCAGATATGTTTCCATGAGCGGGATGGCTGAATCATATGGCAACTCTTTTTAGTTTTCTGAGGAACCTCCATACTGTTTTCTGTAGTGACTGCATCAATTTGCATTCCTATGATTATACAATTTACTGGGGCATGCCTACCTTTCCTTTAGGAGTTAGTTATGCCAATTTTATCACAATATGTTTTTCTTCCACCCAGAGCCACTTCTCTGACCTCACAGTCAAAGAACTTGATGAGCTTGGATGGCTGAAGATGTCAAGCACAAGAGGGGTGAAAGTGAAAGTCACTCAGTCATGTCCAATTCTTTGTGACCCCGTGGACCATACAGTCCATGGAATTCTCCAGGCCAGAATGCTGGAGTGGGTAGCCATTCCCTTTCCCAGGGGATCTTCCCAACCCAGAGAGCGAACCCAGGCCTCCGCATTGCAGGCAGATTATTTACCAACCGAGCTATCAGTTTTGGGGAGGTGATTCATACCAAACACTGTAGATCTTTGAAGTTCTTTCAAATTAATATGTGAAACCTTAAGTGCTTTCCCCCCAACTTCAACTTCTACATTAAAGCTAATATTTCTGTGCAGCTTGTCTTAGTAAATGCTCCCATGTATTAGAGACACAGTGAGGATGAACACCTGACCTCTATGTGGAGCCAAGTGTGGAGAATCAGAATTGTGCCAAGCACAGTTGAAAGAATAGCAGAATATTATATAAATATGGTTCTTATATGGTTACCTTTGGTGATTTATTACCAGCCAAAACAGAAAGGCGAATGGTATAGGACCCCCAGATATCAAAGTTTTCAATGTTGTAGATTTTGTGTAGTGAATATTGGTGCTAACAGTACTGTGTTAAAAAGTTCTTGTTCGTTTTGCAAAGTGAATTATTTTACCTCAAAAAATACATATATCAAAATATATACTTTTCCTAGGCACATAATGTTTGCTTTTTGAGGGTTTTAGACAGTCATGTATTTTTGGCAAAATGTATGAAGTGACTCTTTTCCAGTAGTGATAATGGATTAAGCTAATTCTCCTCCTTTTCTTCTGACCATTCTTTGGGATTACTGAAACATTTAGAAAGCTGGTAGCTTCAACTCAAAGTGGACTAAAGATTTGACTATAATACCTGAAATCATAAAACTTATTGCAGAAAATATGAGAGATAAGCCCTTTGACATTGGTCTTGGTGATGATTTTTTTTAAACCTGACACAAAAGCAAAAATAAACAAGTAGGACTGACTGTATCAAGCCAAAACCTTCTACACAGCAAGAGATCAATAAGCTGAAAAGGTAATGTACAGAATGGAAGAAAATATTTGCAAACTATATATCTGATAAAGGGTTAGCATCCCAAATATATAAAGAACTGCCACAACTAAATAGTAAAAAAGTAAAACAAAGCAAAAATCACAATCTAATTTAAATAAGGGAGAAAAACTGAATAGACATTTATTCAAAGAAGACGTGCCAATGACCAACAGGTACATGAAAATATGCTCACCGTCAATAATCATCAAGGAAATGTAAGTCAGAACCAGACTGCGGTATCGCCTCACACCTGTTGGGATGACTGTCATCAAAAAGACGAGAGATATACAGCGTGATATCACTTACCCACTTATATGTGAAATCTATAACATGAAATAAACTAGTGAATATAACAAAACAGAACCAGACTCAGAGACAGAGACAGACTAGTGGTAACCAGTGGATAGAGGGAGAGGAGGAGGGGCAAGATAGGAGCACAGGATTAGGAAATGCAAACCACGGTGTATAAAAGAGGTGAGCTATCAGGATGCCACAGGGAATATTGGCAGTATTTTATGACAGCTTAAAATGGAGTATAAACTTCAACACTGTGAGTCATTAAGTTGTATGGATGAAACATATACATCAACATATACATCAACTATACCTAAATTTTTTTTTAAAGGCAAGAGATAAATGTTGCTAATGACATGGAGAAAAGGGAACTTTTGTGCACCATTATTGAAACTATAAGTTGGTATAACTGCTATAGAAAACATTAGGGGTGTTCCTCAAAAAATTAAAAATGCAACTACTGTATTTTCAGTAATCTGTGTCTGGTATACATCCAAAATGAAAACGGGATCCCCGAGAGAAGTCTACACTAGCTTTTCTGTTTGCTTTGTTTTTGGCCACCCTGTGTAGCGTGTGGGATCTTTAGCTCCCTGACCAGGGATTGAACCCAGACCCTGGCAGTAAAAGCACTGAGTCCTAACCACTGGATCACCGGGAAGTTCCCTGCACTTCTGTATTTATTCACCATTTTCCCAATAGCCAAGATAGGGAAATGTGATGTGATATATATATTAATATATGTACATATATCACACTGGGAGAAAAATTCTTGGCATTTTTGACAACATGGATGGACCTTGAAGGCATTAAGTGAATAAACCAGGCAGAGAAAGACAAATATTGCATTGTATCATATTCATGTGGCATAAAAAAGTCATACCACAGGGAATAGATAAATGGTTGTCAGTGTGGAAAATAAAGAGAGGTTGGTGAAAAGGCATAAACTTTCAGCTACAAGACAAATAAAGTCTGAGGCTCCAATGTAAAGCATGGTGACTACAGTTGATAACACTGCATTGAATAATTGAAATTCACCAAAAGAGTAGATTGGTGCTGAAGCTGAAGCTCCAATGCTTTGGCCACCTGATGCAAAGAGCCGACTCGTTGGGAAAGATTCTGATGCTGGGAAAGATTGAGGGTAAGAGGATAAGAGGGTGACAGAAGATGAGATGGTTGGATGGCATCACTGACTCAATGGAAACAAGTTTGAGCGAACTCTGGAATATGGTGAAGAACAGGGAAGCCTGGCTTACTGCAGTTGATGGAGCTGCAAACAGTCTAGATTAAGACTTAGCAGCTGAATGGCACCAGAAGAGTGGAGCTTAAATGCTTTCGCCAAAAACAAATAAATAAATAAACATGAGGCGACGGATGTATTACCTACCTAGACAGGGGGAGTTGTTTTACTATGTATATTAAACTACCACTATGATTCCTTCAAATATCTTATGTATTTTTTGTCAGTTATACTTCAGTAAAGCTGAATCTTTTTTGAAAAA